ATCTTGTCATTTGGGAAGTGGTCGATGTTGGCTTCCAGCTTGAGTCGGATCTTCACAACCCAGTCTTCAAAAGCTGGTTCAATCCCATCCGTAAGAATAGGAGGATCCGGAATGCGAGCAGACTGGCGAGGTGCTGCATTGCGAATAGGAGCTGTATTCTCAAGATATTTTTGAATGCCTTGCAGTTTAGTAATCTTTTCATCCTTGTCTTGAATTTCTTCTTGGAGCTGTAGAATAGCATCATTTTGTTCTGCGATGGTAGTATTAGAATCTTGACTAATGAGGAGGTAGTCCTTCATAATGGCTTTTAACATAGACCAAGCATATTCTTGGCTGCTAGGTGGCAGCTGTTAGAATTCAGTGTAGGTGTTGACATTCCAAGTCCTTGTCTAGTAGCCATTTGACAGTATAGACTTGCGTCTTTCTTGAGCTGTTTTGCCCATTTTCTTGAAATCTTCTTAGGCTTCAAGGAAGTCATCCTAAAGTTCATCTTTCTTCTCAGACTCATCTGCTAGGGTTGTTTTTTTATTCATAGACTTTGTAGTCTTCTAGGTTTCGGTCAGCCATCTTGGCTTTTTCTTTAGCAGTGTGTGCCATAGCAGCTTTGCTACTCTTTTCGTATTCAGTAGATCAGACTCGTATCGCTAAAGGCCCTATTGTGCAGTTTGTCAACTGTAGGAGCCACTTGATAATGCATTAAGAATACTGAAGAACACACATTATTACACATAGCATCAACTGCTTCTGGTGTCATTGAGGAAGTATTGATGATATAGGCGACCCCATTTTCGGATGTTTCAGGGTATTCTGGTAAATATGTTGTATAGTTTACCTTCATTACCCAGGTTGCTTTGTCACTAACATCGCTTGAAATAACTGTGGTTGTTTCAATATTAATGCATTAGTAATGCATTAAGTATATATTAGGCGGCTCTTACCTTCTCCTCCTCCCCTTCTTCTTCAGTGACAAGTCGTTCTTCCTGATATCTTTCATCCTCAAATTGAAGACTACTATCAATACTAACAGTATTAGACCATAGGTCTTGTTGAGGTAGTGAAATTATCTCATCCATTGTGAATAATGCATTTGAATTACTACTGTTGTTTATATACCGTTTTTCGCCCTACCTGACCATATCATGTGATGCTATGTGAGCTTAGCTGACCAACGTGCAAGGTTTAGTCATAAAAGTGGGGCATTTTCAGGTCAGCTGAGCCAACCCCTGATGGTCTGCTCACCTGTGTACTCCATAATATGTGATGGCTAGGAGCATAGCCACTTGCTGTAAGTTGCTTAATCGACTTTAGAAGGGTTTGCTCTTGGTTTTTGGATAGGAGTTGCTGTTTCTGACGTGCTTCTGCGCGTGTTTGCCCCCCTTTTAGGCAATGTCTCAAGGTCTCCTCTAACACCTTCAAGGCTTTTATAGCTGCGAAAATAGACTTGTATTAGTTTGATTTAACAGCTAATACTGCTTTGTCTATTTCAATTTCGCGTTCTAGAGCCTTAATACTTCTCTTTTGGACCATTATGGGCAATGATAGTAGTGATGGTTTGATGGTTGTGATGGTTTGATGTAGTCGGGTAGTTCCCAACCCCACTACCCCCATTACACCACGACCTACGTTACTTGTTGCCCTAACTGCTAGCAGCCCTAAGCAGCGATCGTAACAGATAGGAGCTTCGTGCTCAACTCAATATAGTATTCTTTATAATACTGTAATGTGTTACTTGGAAAGCTTTGTGTTTAATCCCCTGCCTCCTCTGTCAAGTCAACCTTATGTAAGAAACCTCTATGTCTTCTATCGTTTAGAAGTTAGCGTTACACTAGGGAAGAACTACGGAGTATTAAGAGATCTAGAGAAGTAATATTAGTTGACTTTTGAGGAGTGCAAGGTGGTTCAGTTGGTTGAAGCGGAAGATTAGACAGAACTCTTTCTAGGAGAAAGGTATTAAACCTGCTAGCCTCCACCTACTTCTGATGTTTTGAGGTATAAGACCCTTCACTCGAATACACTAGAAGATTTCAACCTAGTGGGAGTGCTAGATTTGCTGTATTCCTGCTCGAGTATACTGATCCACTTCCTAAGCATGAAATCACTTAAGAGGTCCATACACCCTAACATCAAGTGGCTGGAGTAGATGAGAGCAATGAGGAGGTAGAATAAGAAGGTCAATGTCATTCTTAATGCACAGTGCAATCATATCACTAGAATAGCCATCCATAATCAACATCTGTAGGTGATTTCTAGACTTTTTGTGTGAGTCAGGCTCAAATACCTTCCGTAACCACTCAAATCTATGACTATTTGAAGTCCAGCCGCTACTACTAGTTGAGAAGTGCTGGTTTGTAGGTGTGTCCTTTAGAACCCAACTTGAATTGGTATTCTTCACCTTGAATATAATCATAGGTGGTAAAGCACCACCGTCTACATCAATGCGTTTAAGTACAGTTATCCACTTCTGCTTCCTAGCTGTCACCTTCTAATAGGATTTCAAGGTTGAATCAACAATTATACGTGTAGATTGAGTCTCTCCAACTGCAAAACCTGTCTCATCCATATTGTAGATGTTACATGGCTTGTACTTTCGCTCCTTAATTTGTGCCTTAAATGCGTTAAACCAAGCTGAAATCTTTATAGGAGTGGCTTCTTTATATCGTGTAGACTCTAGTTGTCTTAAGTAGATGCCTTTAAAGTTTGGATGTCGTTTTAGGAATCTGTAGATCCATCCATGGCCCTATGGTCCGAAGGGTCATTTGAGAAGACGCGATTTAGATGCATCGTACGGGAACTTCTTCAGCCATTTCCTTGATCAACATAGGAGTTGCACGAAAACCTGTGAGACGTGTAATCTACCGTGCAAGTGTATTTGCTTCGGCATTTGAAAGAGCTTGTTTAATTTCGTGAGCTATAGCATGCGTTTTCTTCCTAGACATTCTATTAGCAAGAGTTGACTTGGGAACTTCAAAGTACTCTGCAGCAAGTCTAATTGATTTGAATTCCTTCAATTGAAGCGCAACAGTGGCCTTTTGGATGTTGTCTTCAGCTGCAAGGTTGTTGGATGTTCATAGTAGACAGTGTGAAGATTCTAAGCTGGTGGGTGGTAGGGCATTTTTGTCCGACTACTCGGTGTTCCACCCACTCGCTTCACTCGTAGGTGGCGACAGCAAGTTGTGCGTGCGACAGCAAGATGTGCGACACATAAAACGAAGAAAAAGATGCCTTATATAGCAACTATATAACTATATAATTAAAACATAAAATTAATAGAACTACTATCATCGCTACTGCCACTATCGCTACTACTATCACTTTGATCCTTACTATACCATAAAATTATCACTTTTGATTTCAACCCTTCCTTCTTTCACTCTGCTACCGGCTTCCTCTCAACCTTACGCTCTTCAATTTCGATTTTACGTGCTTGCGCTTGTAGCTGCTTTACTACTTGGTCCGATTCCCTTGCTGCTCTTGCATCTGCTTTTGGTTGCAACTTTGCTTCCTTCTCTTCCCGCATTTTCCATGCATCTAATGCATATAATCTGCCCTCCTTTCTGTAGTGATTTCCGTGCCCTTGCCTTTGCTGCCTTCTGCTCTACTGCACGTAAAGTCATAATATCTAGCTCAGTCTTATAGAGCTCTGCCCGGTGTAGAACAACTGTAGTTCCACGTGCAAATGATTGAAACCCTTCTCTTGAAGGCGATGAGAAAGCTTCCTCTGCTCTCTTCTGCCAATGTTCAACCGCTTGCACACTTTGCATAGTTATTTTCGGTGTTGAGATAATATTATATGAAGCAAATGGCTCATAATCAGGTGTTTGATTCCGAGTCTCTTGTATCTTGTCAATTACAAGTAAAGGATTATATGGATATAGTCCTGCATTTCTCCAACCAGATTGAATTGTACGGACAGGTAGAGATTGCCGTCGGATTTGCGGGAGGTCTGAAAGGAACGTACGTAGCTTATACTCATAGTCGTAGCTACGTACTGCTTGATCAAGTGCCTTTTGAATACCAGCTCTCATTTACAATAATGAGAGCATTTGGCTCAAGGTCATCATTGTACCATGAATCCATATGAAGTTTGCCAGGGATAATGATAGCTTCTGCAAGTGCAGCACCACTTGCATTTACTGCCTCAATTACAGTAACAGAGAGCCGATTCTCAGGGTTATCAACAGTCCACTGCTTTACACCGATTGGTACAATAACAGCCGTAGACTTATAACACCCAATCATATAGCCTGTCTCATCAACATTCCATAAATTATATGGCTTAATGTTATGTTTTGTAATAAGGGCGTTATATGTGAGAAAGAATTCCTCAAACACCTCTTTCTTTTGTGCTTGCTTCCGATGTGTATTTAACGTCTTCGTGTGAATTGTATGAAATTCGGGGTGTGCTTTTAGAAAGTGTTGTAGCCACCGTTGTGATAGTATTGTATGATTAGGTCATAAGTCTGCAACTGCCCGTAGTATCATAGATCGGTTGGCAGGGACCCCGCGCTCAAGTTGGTCGTATATGAATTGACAGACCGCAGTCTCTTGCGATTGAAATAAGACTCGATTGCTACCTCCGTGGGGTAATTGAGGAGACGTAGTACTCGTAATACGACGTCGGAGTGTCTCACGGTTGACATTGAATTTATTTGCAACCCAAGCAATTGTATATGTACTTGGTTGTTTTAAGAAGAACTGCTGGGCCTCATTAAGGCGAGCAATCATAGTAGGATCGATATTTTGAGGCATTGTAGATACTATGTTATGAAGAATACTATTATTTTCTCTATATATCAAAATAGCGGTGTACGCACATCTTGCCGTCGCACGCACAACTTGCTGTCGCCACCTACGAGCGAAGCGAGTGGGTGGAACACCGAGTACCCCATATGTCCGACTTCCCCATACGTTACGTTAATTTTTTTATTGTAGAATAGATTTATAATATGTGACAGATAATAACACTATGGAAGTTGTTTGACATTCGTTCGCCCTGTTGACTTACCTTTTTCATCTTCGTCCCAGTCCGTTTTCAAAGAGGCTTGGATGCCGCAATATTGGCCCAGCTACGCGGTTGCGTGCTGCTACTGCTTCCAGGCGCGCCGTATCCTGTACCCACGTTCCCTGGTGGCTGAGGCAATTGCGTATTCGGGGGACTCGGCAGCTTCTGTTGAACTGCTGAAATGCCTTTCTTCGCCTGTCCATTATGATTTGTTGAACCATTCTGACGCTGGGCAGGAAGTTTTTGAGTCCCATTCCCCCTAGCTGCCTCTTTAGCATGCCCATGCCTGGGTTTCACAACCTCAGTCCACCCCGCATCCTCTGCCTCTGGCTCTGTGGCATGATACTTCGTATCGTAGGGGCTGGTGCCCTGCAAGTCGGAGCTGGGAGGAGCCATGGTAAACCCCTTCCCTGCCGGGGCCTTCCCTTGCCTCGCCAGATTTTCATTTTGCTCCTGCTTTTGGACCTCATCGCTTAGGAATTTATTCACCTGTACCTCTTCTTGGCGTTCTTTATCCGCGAGCACGGCTTCGTCGAGTGTGGTATCAAGGTCCTGTCTGGCCTTTGCGTTTCTTTGATCCATCTTTTCCAAAGTGTCCTCTTTTTTCTGTTGAAGATTGATAATTCTCTGCTGCTCATCATCAGCATGATGGAGGAGGCGTGAGCGCCGACGTCTATGAGCCTGCAGAACATGAGGACCAGGCACGTGTAGCCCCTTTTGTTTAGAGCTGTGGAGTGCCTGAGCCTTCTGATGCTCTGACTCCGCCTCCCTGAGGAGGGAGATGCGCCGACGTCTACTTTCATCGATTTCGGCTTCAAGCTCGTCCTCTTTCTTGATAATTCCATCCGCCTGTCTTTCAAGCTTGCTGATACCCTCATCAAGCTTACTTGCCCCGACCCTCTCTTGTTCCAGTGTCGCCTCGGCTGCGAGTAGTTTTTGGATATCCTCATTAAGACTTGCCTCCCGTTGTCTTTCCTCAGTTTTACGCCTCGTCAATTTCTCCATCTCATGCTTATTCTGAAGGCTTGGTGGCTCGCCCTCCAGGGCCCTGACCCTGTCTGCTTCAGCCTTCGAAGCCTTCTTGAGGCGGTGCATGGCCAACCCCTCTTCCCTTTCGCGATCTGCCATTAGCATTCCAGCGCCCATAAGCGAGTTCCCATTTCTGACAATACCCGCTGGGATGACAAGGGAATGCCGGCGCCAGATTCCACCAGGGAGTAGCTCACCTGAGGGCCTGCGTTTCTTTTCAGGGGCGGCAGTAGGGGTGGGTTGCTCAGATGGTGCTGAGCTGTAATCCGAGCCACTTTCTAGATCTTCGAATTTGCCTGGTGGCTGTGGCGTCCCACGATGGACCGTCTTTTGTGGCATTACGGTGCTAGTAATAGCAGCAAGCAATGAACGTTGATTGCTGGGATTTGGACTGGCGCGAGAAGGGGATGGCCGAGCAGGGCGCTGGCTTATTGGCTCCGTTTCGGTACGCTGTTCCTTCCCTTGTCGATAGTCCTGTACACCGATTTCATCTGAAATACCACGTGCATAGCTGCGAGCTGCTTGTGCCTTTGCACTAGGGGACGGGCTGGGCTGTGACACTTGGTCCCATTCGGACACAACAGACGGATGAAACTGCTCCTGTCTGCCTCTTCCAATGGTGTAGTCCGACGGTCCAGGGGCACGGCTAGGAGCAGCCCTCTGGCCATCCCTATCAGCTACCGCGGGTGATGTAGCTCGGGCCGCACCCGGTGGACGCGTAATAGTCTCAGTTATCTCCTGAACTGGAGCTTTCATCGTAGGTTGATACCGCCATACACTCTCCGTCCGCATAGTACCATCAGGCAAGGTGTAAGATTTTTCGCTTACTAGTTGACGCCCTTGCTGCTCCATCTCAAGGTTATGCTGCCGAGATAGAGCCAGGGCCTCTTCCTGTGATTGATGCGTAACGGAGGGGAATGGAATTGTATTGTCGCTCGGGTCATGAAATCTTCCCGAGACATCTTTGGTACACGTTGTATTGCTTGCCATGTCCATACTGATCGGGGCTGCTGTAGCTTGGGCGCCACCACGCTTCTCATCTGGAGCTGGGATCTCAACTAACCTCCCAGAATCTGTTGGAGAAGGAGCAAAATGCCTAGTCGGACGTACTTCAGTGTCCCTAACTGGTAGAATGCGATTGTACACATCATGGTTGTGAATTTCCCGAGTGTATTCCTTAGTGTTGATATGGTGTGCTGTTGGCTGGATATGTTCATGTGTCACAGCTGTACTCTGGTTAGCAATGATAACTTTGTAGCTAGGAAAAAGCCCTACCAGGAAGTTGAGTAGTTCGGACATCTGTTGTCACTGTTGTGGGAGGACGTCTCTCTCCCCCTTGGAATTGCTCATATGCTGGCGGTGTTGTTTCAGCCATGCTGGTGGGCCGCGGGGTCTGGCGAGGTACCGTTTGCATGGACCTATGTCCCAAACCCCTTGATTCCTCCGGCCGGAGGCTCTTTTCCGAAAGTGGCGTGTAGCTAGACTGGGGTCTTGGTTGCGGCTGTGGTTGCGGCCTTGAGCGCCGCAATGTCTTATTTGCTAACCCAGCATGCCTACCGATGGCAGGGGCCCCGACTTGCCTGCCGAGGGAAGGGGAAGCCCGAAAAGTTTCTGGTGAGCGAGGCGGCCGCTGCTGCATGCCACCAACACGCTGCGTATTACTAGGCGGACTTGGTGGCATTCCCCTGGTCTGGGAAGCCCCCGTAGTCTTTTCTGGCTCTTGCAATGGTTGCCGCAATGTTTTCGGGAAGAAGATATTCTTACTCTCTCTGTGATATCTGGGTTCCTCCTCCTCACCTAAGGCATACTTAGAAATGATCATAAAACAAATATTGTAGACTTTCACGTACCGTGTAGTTCGTCTCGTGATACTGCCTGAGGTTGTTGCCTCTTCGACGTTAAAGATCTTCTAAAAAAACCCTGTTTGGAAGGTGTTTCAGCGTCCTGCGCAGGTGATGCTTGAGCACGAGGCACATCTTGTTCCTGTTGGCGTCGTAACGTCTTTGGAAATGCAATATTATTACTGGCACTGTGGTAGGTAGGCGCAGGTTCGGAGACTATAGTTTAATTAATATCTGCGCGTACGATTGTCCGGTGGAATCTACATACCATTAAATTCATCTCGGGGTGGCGATGGAGAAGTCTGCCTCTTTCCGGTCAAAGACCTCCTTAGAAGCCCAAATTTCGTTTGGCTCTCAGTTAGAGGGGCCTCCGTCTCTTGTTGGTGCCGCAGGGTCTTCGGAAATACAATATTGTTACTGTCTATGTGGTATCTGGACCCTGATTCTTGGCCTGGAGAATTACTAAAAATCTATGAAGACAGATCTGCAAAGTGTACGTACCATTCAACTCATGTCGTGGTGGTGAGGGTGGTTCCCTCGGGGAAGTGAAGTACTTTTCAACGGGCCATGTTTGTTGCTCTGGATTCTTCACATATTGTTCGGAAGCCCGAGTTGGTGAGATTGGTGGCGTAAGAGGGGTTTGACGGGGTCGATATTTATTCACTGTAATAGGAGTCGGGGCATTGGGTCTTTCAGAAGGCTGCTTTGAGCCCGCAGCCATTGCCGCCGCGGAGGCGACGCCATCCGACCTCTTTGAATATGGAGACTGATCTGACATAAATGTGCCAGTGTAGGATGGAGACTCTGAATATCTGTTGGTGGTGCCCGACAGGTAGGATCTGACTGGGATTTCAGACGACATGTTCGTGTTTTCAAGCAATTGATTTAGTGAAGCTTCAAGATGCTATAAGAATTGGAATTATGTCGAGATGTTGTGGGGAAGTGATAATACGAGCAGTCGTTCGGGTTTATGGGCAGTCGCATGTGTATTACATGATAGGAGCATTTGTAAAGTATGGACATCGTACATTAAATGCTAGATATCATCACAATGATAGGACATTTCTTACAGAAGGCTCACATTGTTGGCTGAAAAATGTCGTCAGTATATATCATTTAGTTAGATCATGAGCAGTCAGATGCGTCATCGGAATTAACGGGTTGTGGTCAGCGCCACAACAAGCGATGGTCATATCTAAGGGCCATAATTAGCGGCCAGTAGCTCTTCCCCACCCAACTCAGTTGCCCTTTATTGAACCCCATCATGTACTTTACGTACAAAAAGCAACTTGGATCTGGGGAGGACTAGCAGGTCAATTGGTAAGGGATCTATGGTTGACATTAGCTCTGGCTCATTGCCCTCGAAAGGGGCGAAATACCCACAATTTAAACCTGTTTTAGTGCAACTCTTGAACTCGTTTCAATGCGGTAGCTGATGATGTGAGACGTTGAGAAGTTATAGAGTAGGGAGACGTTCTGATCTCTGATGGCATTTTTTCGCTGGAAGTCGTCCAGTCACATGACGAATTCTATCTAACCATGCCAAAATCTAATCCGGAACAGGTGCTCGACCTTAATCAGACCACACTCTTTGGAGTCACGGGAATTTCTCTCAGCGCGCGGAACAATGTAAAACATCTAACTCATAATGTCCCTGAGAAAGTTTGGCATCTCTTGAAAATTACGAGATGTGAGTGCACCAATGTCTCACTGTAACCTTGGTTCACATTGTTCTGGACTTGGTTTTACTTTGGAATACAGCTAGCAGCTTGTTTGGACATACTCCTTTCGTTTATTGTACCCTTTTCCTTCCTGTCGTCATCATGATATCTTCAGAAGGCCCCTATGATTTGGTGCATTTTTCCGCATTAGTACTACCCCAAGCCAGGGGCGTTAATGATGAATACACTATCCCTACACCAGGAGAAAGCTCCACAGACGCCTATTGCCTTATATCAGGTCCCTTCCTCAACTTATCCTAATTCTTTAAATCCATATTCCATTTCAATTAAAACACCCAATTTAGCACGTCCAAGAACAAGATGCAGCTCGATACTCAGTCCAGCACCCACAACACCAGCCATGGTGATCCCACGGGCAAGACTAAAGAGACCATCACCTCCTTCCTGGGAAAAGATGGCCAAGCCGACACAACGGTCCACGAGACCATTAACCCAGCTGTTATAAGGGAACACATCCAAAGAACCAACCACGAGGAGAGACAAAAGATCATCGACAGGGAGGTCCACCAAGACCACCACCACATTTCGATCCAGCCTGTCCGCGACCAGGAAATCTTGCCAGAGACCCATGAGACCAACATTGCTCCCGTTGAGACTCATGAGATCAAACATGGCAACGAGAAGCACGTGCTTGAGCGTCTAGCCGCCGAGCGCGCCCAGTTCCGTGATACTCGTGATGTTGCCGAAACTCGCACCACAACCTCGACTGGCCCCACTGTTGCTGGAGAGCATATCCATCATCGTAAGTAAATACAGAGGCCATATCCAGCCTAATTCCATACTAATAAGCATAGATGTTCACGAGACTATCCAGCCTGTTGTCGAGAGAGATATCCTCGAGCCCCACGTTATCCACAACACCTTCCCTATTCACGAGATTCACATTAATGAGGCCAAGCATCACTCCGCCTCATCTCTTCCAGAAGTGACGCTCGCTGAGTTCCAGCGCCAGGGCGGCACCCTCACTGGCCGTGAGGAGCGCGTTGACTCCTTCAGTGGTGCTCCTCGCTCTATTGACGATGCTGTCACCGACTCGAAGCACAACAACGTCCTAGGTGGCCCAGGCGCTGCCGGTACAACTACTGTTACCGGTGGCGGCATCGGTGGCACCAGCGGCGGCGGCGGAAGGACCAGATACAACGAAGAATACGACTACGGTACTTCCGGACGCTACGAGTCCACAGGCGCTGGCAAGACGCAGCAGCGCAGCCAGTATGATACTACCGACTCTACCCAGCGCGGTTACGATACCATAACCACGTCTAGCACGGCGAACCGCAACGCCGCAGCGGGTGCCGGCGCAGTCGGACTCGGCGGTGTTGGCGCAGGCGCAGCTGTAGGCGCCGGTACCGCTGGCGGTGGAGGACTGGGGAGCTCGGCTGCCCAAACTGCGGCCAACAAGATTCCCGGCGTGAACAAGCTGACAGGGAGCAGGAGCGGAGAGAGCAGCGGCGCGAGAGGCGAGGAGTCCGTTGGCCACCAGCAGGGAAAGAAGCCCAGCCTCATTGACAAGCTGAACCCCATGAAGGATTCTAACAAGGATGGGAAGGCTGGTTTCATGTCTTAAGCAGGTCAAGTCAGAGAGGGAAGATTGAAGTTGTGTAATTTGGGTTTAATAATGTTGGGATGTGGGCGATTACAACTAGGAATATTACTCTGATTAATCTTGTTACTTAACAATGGAAAACGTTACAACGTTACTGGAAACTATAAAACTACATTTGGATCTCCCGTTGAGAGACTGTTTTTGAAATTTTGAAATCCGAAGTTAAGAGTATACAATTGGGCTTGGCTTGGTTTGGACCTTGCGTCGACGTAATCATGACGGTTTTAAACGACGGATATACAATGCAGGAACTGAGACATTTATTTGAGCGGTAAGCTATTTATCAAGCAACATTAGATCACTACGTTATTCGCGGAGGAATTCCCTAGCCTGCATCAGAGGTGAGGGAGAGTTAACGGACCGAATGAATACCAAGTTTCTCTCTAGTTCTCAAAAGCAAGAGTGACACAGACCTCACTGCCGCAAGCTAAACAGCGAAACATGCAGGGTCCCCTTCAATTAACTTGGCTGGCCGATGACTGGCCGATAGCCAGGTTAATTGATTACCTTTAGCACGACCACACTGGTCCACAGATGAGGAGCATGGCACTAAGTGGTTTTAAACTACCGACTATTAAAACAGATTCACCTCTCCCAGTCGTTTCTGCAAGCTCCAACAGCAATGATCATGCGGAACCATATGAGGAATCAAAGGCACTTGAAGAGCTCCAATGGTTCCGCAAGTTCATAATCGACGAGCCAAACAAGCACAGGTTCCTTCCACCGGTCAATGATGAAATGTAGCGGTTAACATCTTATGAACCATATTCATGAGATGAAAATTCTCCAGGGCTTTTCTACATGCCGGCAGATCATCCATCGATGCAGAGTCGCCCTCTAATCTCTCAAGCAGCATCCCAATCACTCGTCCATTCTCCATCACATGGCCTAAGAAGGCAGGAGCGATGACTGGATCTATGGGCTCGCGGTACTCTTCGACCACTGAATATGTGTAGGTCTCGTGCTCGATTCTAGGAATTTGCCAACCGAAACAAGCAATTTTGCAAATAGCTAGAAGGCCCGAATATAGTACTTCGTAGACTCCAGATCGGTGCCGTTTGACTTTCTCTAGAGAGAGCACGTCGATGGTCTTCGGATGCCATGTCATCCGTACGGCTGGCAAGGGCTCATGTGAGAGTTCGGATTCAAAGAAACCGTCTAGCTTGCAAGTCACTTCCATGGTTGTCCAATTCTTACCTAGAAAGTTAAGTAGTTAGGGTATGAGTAGGTGCGAACAGTGTTTTCAGTAGTATTGCCCGTATACGGGAGGCTCTCGTATACGGGCCCGTATTATACTTAAGTATTCATACGACCCGTATCATAACACCTCTTCGCCGCTAGTATTATACTTAAGTATTGCTGGCCATACTTCAGTATTATACTGGCAATACTTAAGTATTTCACGTGATCCTTTCACAATTTTCAGGTCGTCGTGAAAACTCTGCATTTTATCCTTACGTCTTATGATTCAGCCTACATCATGGCTTCTGAACCTTCTGATGTTGTATCTACTATCGAAAGTGAACAATTTAATCAGTTTGAACAGGATACTACAACCTCATCAACTATTGGCTGCTCTATTCCGTCCCAATCTACCTCCCGTACTACGTCAAAGGTAGCTAAGCTACGCACATCACCGATATGGGACTTTACAAAAGTAGGACGTTATGAAATAACCTTCAATATCTACGGCAAGGAGTCCTGGTGTTGCAAGTTCTGTTCTAAGGAGTATACTGTTGGTGGGGGCACTAATATCATCATCAAGCACTTAAAGGAGCGCCATTCCATTGACTTGAAAACACCACAAGAGCAACGCATTGATGGATATCAATCCACAATAGCTGTAGCCTTTGCCAGGCCACACACAATCAATCATAAACGCCGTAGACTCAACGATGTCACTGCTGTTAGGCCTTTAGATCCACGTGTTCTTGAAGATCTCTATGTGCGCTGGATAGTAGCATGTGGAATTGCATTCCGAATGGTTTCAATCCCCGAGTTCCGCACGTAAGTAGTATTACCTTTCATGATTTAAGGCTTTTATTAATATATATATAGCATGCTTCACTATTTAAATCCAGCCATCAATGAATGGCTGCCTCATAGCTCGACAACAATTCACGATTGGGTCCTTCGTAAATATACAGAAGAGAAGGTCATCATTCGACAGGCTGTTCAAGCTGCCCTTACAAATATACACTTTACAGTGGACTTATGGACTTCTCCAAATTCCCTTGCAATCCTCGGCATTGTCGCTCACTATATATCAGCAACTGGTAATCTAGATAACTCTGTTCTTGCACTACGAGAAGTTAATGGCGAGCATTCTGGTGAGAACCAAGCTGTGGAAATTCTTGATGTTATCAACGACTATGGCATTGCTTCAAAAGTTGGTTATTTTGTAATGGACAATGCAACAAATAATGATACAATGATCAAGGAGCTTTCGAAAAAGCTGAAAGAGGAGCATGAGATAATATGGGACCCTAGGCGACATAGATTACGGTGTAACGGCCATGTGATCAACCTCGCTGTTCAAGCCTTTCTCTTTGCAAGTGATGAGGAGGACCTCTCACAGGATAATAATACGGAGCTATTGTCGTCGCCGACAGAAATAGAGATGGAGCAGTGGAGAAAGAAAGGTCCACTTGGTAAACTACATAACATTGTAGTTTATATCCAACGCAGCCCACAACGTATCGCCAGCTTTAAGTTGATGAGCAATAACCTATGTTTGTTGAGAGATAATTCAACACGTTGGAATAGCTGGTATTCAATGCTACAACGGGCGCTACGGGTACAACATGCTATAGAACTGTTCTGCGTAAAATTCAAGGAGAATGAGAATGACCTCCGTAAGTACATATTTATGTCTCTTAAATTTAATTATTTACTAATATTTAAGTAGTTTCACAAGGGGACTGGCAGGACCTTCGAAATATGGCCTGTATTCTCAAGAACTTTGCAGATGCAACACTTGCTACAGAAGGTTATGCCTCGAGCATTGATTTAACACTCCAATCGATGGACTTCTTACTTCACGTGTTTGAAACTGCGAAGAATGATTATGCAATGGACCCGTTCCTTGGTCCTTGTTGTAATGCTGGGTGGAAGAAGTTGGATAAATACTACAGTATGACAGACAGGACTTCGGCATATACAGCGGCGTTAGTATTATGCCCACAATGGAAGTGGACTTACTTCAAATCAGAATGGAAGGCTGATTGGGTTGCTGAAGCACGTGTCAAGGTTGAGGAGCTGTGGGTCAACAAATACAAAGCATTGGCAGTTAGTGCAGAGATCGCAGAAGTTGAAGGTGAAGATACTGAGAAGCCGCTTTCGAATGAGTTTCTTACATGGCGTACACAAAAGCGGGGTATTGACGTTATTCAAGATGAATATACTCAGTATTTACAAGCCCCAATTGTTAAAACTGATGATGCGAGAGCATGGTGGGCTGAGCCTACTCAACGGGCTACATTTCCAAACTTAAGTGTAATGGCATTAGATTTGTTATCAATACCCTCAATGTCTGCAGCGCCTGAAAGGCTGTTCTCTGGTGCGAAAATCACGATTTCCGACCGTAGGAACAGGCTAGGTATTATGGCAATTCAAGCTGTTGAGTGCTTGAAGTCTTGGTTTAAGAAGAATAAGAGTACAGCTTTGCCGTTTGTAGATGATGAGCTGTCAACACTCCCAGATACATTGTTGCAAGAGGCAGCGATGACTATGATATCTAGCTAGTTCAATATGTTCTGAAATTCACAGGGTTATAGAGTATACAGTTTTTACAGCTTCAATTTTTTTTAACATTACATGAAATACTTAAGTATTGCCCGTATTAATACTTAAGTATTGATACAGAGCTCACTAGTATCATATCAAGCTTCACCCGTACCGTATTGATACGGCCCGTATCATAATGGCCCGAATACTTAAGTATTATACTAATGGGAACACTGGGTGCGAACGACACATTGTGTCATCATCAAAGACGTTAGTTGGAATTGTCACATAGTGAACTCTTTGTCCGGCCCGTATGCGATAGGACCCAAAGTCGTCATTGATCTCTTGAGATAGCACCTCAATGTACGACTTGGGGACGGTATGAGACTCCATTGTAGGAATATTTCTTTGGACGTTGCCCACAGTGAGAACCGCGACGGGCCCGTGCAAGAACCTTCATTGATGGGCTTTTCGTCAAACCTAGGGGTGGTGCAAGGAAGGCCATCACGTGCCACCACGTGAGGCCCCTTTCGGCAGGGCCCGTAGGGCTTGGTAAACTAGGGCATAGGGCGCCTAGATAAAAGGGACTAGAGGTCTCGGGAGAAGGACTCTAGTCAATAGTCACTGTATATACGTAGACCTATTGTGCTTACTAAATACGATACCTTCCTGCCTCCTGACCTAGTTCCCTAGACTCTAGAGCTATTCTAAAGGACGCATAGTAACAACTATAACGCCTACCCTAAGGCTGTATAGGACTTCGTGAAGAAGTAAGCCTTGATCTAGGAAGAGAGCTGTTAGAAAAGGCGACACTAAGACATCGAATACAGGTGGGAAGAACCTTAAGGAGGGGAAGAGTAGGAGATAGAAACTGCTTCTACCATACAACAGAGGTTGTGTCAACCTATAGACTAAAGGGAGGGTTAAAGAACCTAAGGAGTACAAGGGTGTAATGGTGGGTGCACCAGATGTGAGAATCTAGCCACCCAAGGAAGGGATGATTTTACTAAGACAACACACTGTCTTAGGAAAAAGAGCCAAAGGGTCGTAGCTTAGACTATTCCACAATGCAGCAATCAGGTGTATGATGTAGTGGAGTGGTTTAGACAAGTTGTAACAAATGTTGAGTCTGGGAACTCAGGGGTAAGTCAGAGGTTAACACCTCACTGACTTTTCAGAAACAAGGAGTAACAAGATGAATGCTTGGAAGCTTGGAAAAGACGTGGAAGTATGTGATAGTCGATTTACTGTATTGTCTGCTTGCCCTTTCTTAAGGAAAGGGCAATCCTATTTATGCCAAAGGAGTGTAGTTTT